TTATGGGCAAGGGGAGGGGGAGATATCTGTGTCAACACCAGATGTTTTTTCTTCCAAGGACAGAAGATAATGCTCTGGCCCTTCTGGCGCTCCCTCCTTTCCGGGCAATCTCAAACCTGTTGAAACTGCTTATCTATGAGTCACAAGAAGCCTTATTTTTACATTTCCACAATTCCACTAATTTAGGTCCTCTTTCAATTTTTCAAGTATGTTTTGATGTTATCAATGTATAATTCTAGCACTTATTTTGTTAAATTTATTCAAAAATATTTTACACTTTTTAATGATAAATGGGATTATTTTCTTAATATAATTTTATAATGTATAACTGTGTAATTTTTTCTGTATTGCTCTTATACCATGAAATCTTGCTGAATTTATTAGCTCCAGTGATTTACTGATAGAGTCTTTAATATTTTCTTAAAAATGTAATCTTCAGGTAGATATCTTTCTTTCTACAGTAGTTTGAGTAATGTCCCTCCAAAATTCATATTCACCAGAACTTTGAAATATTATTTCATTTGGAAGTATGGTTTGTACACCTGTAATTAGTTAACATGAGGCCATACTGGAATATGGTAGGTCCTAGATGTTATGCTTGATGTCCTTAAAATAATGAGAGGACCCACAGATCCAAAGAGAGACAGCTGTGTGACCACAGAGGTAAAGATCATAGTGATGCAGTTATAAGCCAGAAAATGCCAAATATTACTAGGTGCCAGCAAAAGTTAGAAACAAGCAAAGAAATATTCTTCCCTTGAGCTTTCAGTGGGAGTATAACCTTAAGCACCTTGATTTGAACTCAAGTCTACAGAACTTAAGAGAATAATTTATCCTCCTAAGACATCCACCTGGTGACAATTGGTTATGGAAGTCCCAGGGAACCAAATATACTTTTCAATCTGGATGTTCCTCCTCACTCTGCTAATTGCTTTTACTACAACCTGCAGCACAATATTTCGTCAAAGGAGTAAAAGTAGGTATCATTACTGTCTTGGTTACTTTTCTCTCGTTGCTGAGACAAAATACCCAACGCCCAAAATGAAGGAAGGAAAGGTTTATTTAGCTTACAGTTTTTTGGAGGTTTCAGTCCGTACTTGGCTGGCTCTGAGGCAGAAGACAGCAAAGCAACAAGAGCAAAGGGGGGAATGGCAGCCGAACAGAAAAGCAGCCAGAGCAAACGGGAGGAATGGCGACAAGCAGCTTCTTTCCCTGCTTTACTTTGTAAACAGGCTCTTTGCTCTTGAGTCTCAATATAAATCTGGCTGAAAGCCCCCAACAATAGCCATGCCACTGCCCCAACATTCGACTGCCTTGAAATTTCTTTTGCCAGATTAACCAGTCCGCTGCCGCCCTTAATCTCAGTCTTAGGCAAAGTCTCTGGACATCAGCAAAATGCAGACAAACTTTGTGCCAAGC